TAAGCAGATGTGAAAGTGAATAGAGGGCAGAAAGTTGGGACATCATAGGGTTGGAAAGTGGACTTCCTATACACCCCAAACAGTAAGTATGATGATTTAAAAGACTTTGAGCAACAAATGCCAAATAATTACTTTTAGGAAAATAAAGTGACTTAAGTAAAAGATCAGGTTAATGGTGTCACACTCCCATACATTTTTCCTGGAAACTTCATTGAAGCCACCAGCAAAGTAAGAAAGAACAGCACAGGGGTGACAGAAACTTATTTTTAGGAAAGGACATTCAGTGTAGTTACTGGCATGTGAAATTAACTGAAAACAAACTGATCAGAATCCCACAGATTTTCTATTAATCTAGATTGTCAAAGAAATCTTGAACCCAAGCAAAAAAAGTTTATTTGACTATTTGAGACATAAAACAACTAATTTTTTAAATTGATGAAATGTATATTTAATTGTAATGCACTTATTCATTGATAGGGCTATTCTTTCTTGTGTTCTCTTTCCTCCTCCAGCTTTATTAAAGCATAATTGTCAAATATAAATTGTATATATTCACAGTTTACATGATGTTTTGATATCTGTATACATTGTGAAATGATGACCACATTCACGTTAATTAACATATCCATCACCTTGCATAGTTACTTTTTTTGTGTGTCGTGAGTATACTTAAAGCATACTCTCCTAGCAAATTTCAAGCATACAATATATTTTTCTTAACTGTAGTCACCATGCTGTACATTAGGTCTCTGGAACTTATTTATCTTAAAACTGCAAGTCTGAACCCTTTGACCAGCATCTTTCCATTTTCCCCACTCCTCCTGGCCCCTGGTCACCACCATTCTACTCTCTGTAAAACAACTAATTCTCAGTAATTCCTGAGCCTCTGTCCTTTTACGGTAGAAGGTAGACTTTGAAAGCCACCAAAGATGGAAAATCCACTTTAGGTATGACAGAAGAGAACCATGGACAGTACTTATGTCCAGATTAAAAAAAATAATAATGGAACTTTTTTCCAACTCAGGTCTTCACAATATCTGCTCAGTGAGATTTTAGAAGTGCTATGAACAGTGATGACTGTTTCTAAATTGGAGTGTTTATTTTGATTATCCTGTCTCAGTTTTACCATTATACATTGGATGAATTTAGGGGGCAGATAACTTGTCTTAGCTCAATTTTTAGAAGCAGGAAGATTCACATTTTGATATGGTGGACAGTCAGAATCCTGACTTGTATTGTTTGGGAAGAAAGTGACAATGTTCCATGCTTGGGAGGAAGAGTGCAGTCTGATGTACAGGTTGAGAATCCCTAATCCAAAAATCCAAAATTCAAAATGCTCCAAAATCTGAAACTTTTTGAGTGCTGACATGACACCACAAATGGAAAATTCCACAGCTGACCTCTTGTGACAGTTTGCATATATTATTAAATATATTATATAAAATTACCTTCAGGCTATGTAAATAAGGGGCATATAAAAAATCAATTTTGCATTTAGGCTTGATAGATCCTATTTCCAAGATATCTCATTAGGCATATGCAAATATTCCCAAAACTGAAAAGTCTTAAATCTGAAACACTTCTGGTGCCAAGCATTTTGGATAGGGATGCTTAATCTGTATTTTAACTAACAAGGTAAGATGTGGGGAGACTGGCTATATAGTCACCAATCTGGTTTTTCTCAGGTACACTTATTATTACATTGGGATCATGTGACTGTCTATTAAATAATGAGAAGTGAGGAGAACTCAAGGAATGTTAGCAGCCACAGACAGAAAACGGAAGAGGCAAATCTCCCCAAAAGCCTACAGAGGGAGCACACACCTCCTGATTTTGGCTCAGTAAAATTGATTTCGCACTTCTGGCCTCCAAAATTGTGAGAGAATGAATAATTTCTGTTGTTTTAAGGCACCAACTTTGTGGTATTTTGTTGCAACAGCTGGAAGGAACTGATACAGCCAACCATCCTTAACTTCATGTTAATTTGTGTCATCTTCTAACTTCCAGTAAAGCTCAAATTCCACATTTTATTGGTATGCTTTCTCATCCTACCTCTGACACTTTCTAGCTATGTAATCTTTGGCAACTCATTTGTCTTCTCTGTTACTCAGTTTCTTAGTCTTTAAAATGAGGACAATCATGATACCTACCTCATAAGGTTATTATAATATAAAGATTTCATGAGTTAATATTTGTAAAGAGCCTAGAACAGCTCCTAGCATTGAAAAGTGCTATATAAATTGATGCTAAATAAATTCTTTAAAATGAGGACAATCATGATACCTACCTCATAAGGTTATTATAATATAAAGATTTCATGAGTTAATATTTGTGAAGAGCCTAGAACAGCTCCTAGCATTGAAAAGTGCTATATAAATTGATGCTAAATAAATTTTTTAAAAAGTAGATGAAGTATTTTGGGGGAAGAGAATGAGAGGAAAGCCCTGAAGGTTGTTTTTCCTTTTACTGCCTTCTGTTCACTTGCAGGAGAAAGAATTTGGAAACAAAATATTAAAAAAAAAACCT